AGGCTCTTCTGAATGGTCTTGATTTATTTTTTTTTATCACTTGAAGCCCACAGAAAGTCTAAGTGGTTATTCACATAGTGAAAACCTTCTGTTGACTAATGTTCTTAGAGGTTGTAGATGCGCAGCTTTTTGGGGCGCTGAATATGGGCATTGAAGGGTACTTGTACCAGGAAAAATGTAGCCTCTATTAGCTGCTGGAGCAGCATCTTTCCGACATGCCTGGCGTCTCAGCTCGAGCGTTCTGCCGCTGTGCCGCGCTGTCCCAAGGCCTGGCACCGCGGCTTTCGCATCACAACGCTTGCTGTCTCTGGAGCTAAAACGCATTTAGGGATAGGCTGTATTGGGAGATTTATCCGGCGTCCCATGCGATGTTTTCCCTGCTGTCGGTGAAAGGCCTCCATTCATTTTGCTTTTTGGTCCCACCAATTCTCTTCACAGCGCTCCCCCCACGATAGCACCTTTCCCGGGGGGAGTTTCACCAGGCACGATTGTGCAATCATTTCGAACACCTGGCTGCACGGGAGCCAGCACAGGTGAACCGCACTGGTGCAACGACAGCAACCCACCCGCACGAACGTCCTCAGCCCCTTCGTAACGCCTACAAGAGCCCCAGCGCCTCGTGTCAGCTCTGCGGGGGACAGCGAGAGAGCCGGAAAGCAAAACCAAACGTGGGCAGCGCTGCAGAGCCCCCCCAGCGCCCGCGCCTCTGCGCGGCCCCCGAAGGGCCGGTCTGACGCCAGGCTTCCCCTGCCCCGGCCGCAGCGCTCCAGCCTGCGCCGCGGGCTGCCATCGTAACGCCTACAAGAGCCCCAGCGCCTCGTGTCAGCTCTGCGGGGGACAGCGAGAGAGCCGGAAAGCAAAACCAAACGTGGGCAGCGCTGCAGAGCCCCCCCAGCGCCCGCGCCTCTGCGCGGCCCCCGAAGGGCCGGTCTGACGCCAGGCTTCCCCTGCCCCGGCCGCAGCGCTCCAGCCTGCGCCGCGGGCTGCCAGGACGGATCTGTCCTGCGAGGCTGGGGGGGGCGGCCCGGACGGGGGGCGCGACCTCGCGGCGGAGGACGGCATTGATTTAGAGGGCGTGCGTAACCGCTCCTGCGGCTAATGCCCGAACCGAAGTCCGAGGCTAACCCTCCCCTGCACACCCTGCCGCTACAGCCAAACCCATCTGCATCGCCGGTCGTCGCCAAGCACTGGCTGTTTCCCTGTGTCTCCATCTCACTCTACGTTTGTACGAGACTGACTGTCTAAATGATGCTAAATGCTTAGGACAAGAGGGACACGAGATTATAATGAACTGCATCTTCGCACCTTGTCACGACCAAATTCTCCCACAGTTCTTAGCAGGTCTGGGGAGAAGGGAGAGCGCGGCGCATCCAGTCCCGGGGTTCGGTCCGGTCCACAGATAACGAGGTGGTTTGCACCTTAGCGCGCGTCAGCCACGTGAAAGAAGGGCAGATCTGGGCACTTTGGGCTGTAGCCATTGTCTGTGCTGCAGTAGCACACAAAGATACCCTCCTCCTCCTCCCCGGTACAGCCTAAACGCGTTCTGTTCCGACTCCCTGACCTAAAGGATGCGGCATCCAGCCCGCACGTGAATAGGGCTGTCAGACAACAACGTCCTACACCGCCAAACCTCGTGTGTTTATCTGCGTAGGGTTTTTTTAATTGTATGTGTTAAATGTCCGGCATCTTTGGGACGTTCATCTGGGAAAAAGCAATCCGAACAGTCTCTGTGCCAGACATCCGTCCGCACTGCTGTTCCTATTCCCAGTGCATTCTTTGAGAAGACCACCATCTGCTCTGACCACCACCTAAGGCAGATGCCCCCTTCTCAGTGCACAGTCCCAGCTCTCAAGCCACCCAAATCTGATTAGGCCTGTTCTGATGAGAGGCCTGGAGGAGGGCAAGGGAAAGTTACTCAGGAGAGAAAATAATAACCACACGTTAATGATGTGGTCCCTACAGATGCACAGAAAATACACAAACCAGCTCAGGATGCGTAAGCCAAAAGGAACGGCCCCACCGGCTTGCTGCCGGGGGTTATTATTTTGGGGGTTTGGGATTATTATTTTTCCCCAGAGGAGGAGCGGCCCCGGCCCCGTCAGGGGAAGGGAAGATCTCATCCCCGCCGCTGCCCTCTACACACTCTTTACCACCTCTCTTCCAGCTTCCCCCCCCCCCCCCCGTCA